AGTAAATAACCAGTTTGAAAATATAGTAAGGATAAAAGATATGTAAAATATCAACAAAACCTATTGGATATAAATACAGCAAAAGTTGTGTTAAGAGAATTATAGGGGAAATCAACAATCATTCACCTGAATAAAAGGAGAAGACCTGATATTGTAAAGATGTCAGTTCTCCTAGAATATAAATTGAATGCAATTTTAATAAAATTCCCAACAGGATATTTTGTGTGTGTGTACATGTGTGTGCATGCGCACACGAACACGTGTACACAACTAGACAAACTAACGTTTAGATGAACTAGTAAAAATCAAGAAAGCCAAAAAATCCTAAAAAGATATAAAAGTAATCATAATAGTTCATAATTATTGTGTGCTTCTTTATATGGTAGGCACTATTCTAACATTTCCTCCTCACAATTATCCTTAAAGTGTATACCAGGATCTATTTTACAAACCAGGAAACTGAGAGTAATTAAGTAACTTGTCCAACATTACTTGATACTCAGGAGAAGCAACAGATGCAGGATGATAAAGGTGTAGTATCTTCCAAGTACTGAGGAGAAAATAATTGAGTCCAGAATTTTACACTCAGTCAAACTCGTATTTGTAAGAGCAAAATAAAGACATTTTCTGGAATACAAATACTTTAAAGTCTACCAAAGACCTTTTATGAAAGAACTTCTAACTTTATGTTGACATGAAGAAAAATGAACTCAGAAGGAAGGAGTGGGTGTCAGAAGTAGCAGCCTCCAAAACACATTGAATGAAACAAAACAATGTTAAGTAGATGAGAAAACTGGGACTCAATGAAAAGCATAGGTAGGAAATAAAAGGTGTGTAACAATATTATTAGTTATTAAAAAATAGAAGTCATAAAGTCCTATACCTATGCTAGAAGTGGGCCACTGAGTTGGACCTGTGCTTCCTTTTGGCCAAATAAGAAATGGAAACCATCAACTAAAGGATTCGCAGCATCCACAAAACAAAACAAACAAGTTGATCACAAGAACTTTTCTTGGCACTGTGACCAGAAAGACATTTCTCATATGGGAAATGTCTTTGACTCTTACATTTATTTTTCAATAAAGAGATGATTTAGATACATCAGCCTTCTTGAAATCTCTGCCTTGTAGAATAGAAAAGACAAAGCTTCCTTCTGCAGGTGTATAATATGAATGATCAGGTGCTTTAGAAAAGCCTATCCTTCTGGGATATTTAGGTGTATTTCTGGAAGAGGACGGACAAAGTGACCTCTGGAGTCCTGGTTGCCTGTGAGGGCACAGGGTGGTACAGGATGTGGGCATTTTTTTCCCCAGAGCTATCCCAGAATCACTCACACTGAATATTTCCACCTCCACTACCCCAGTTCATCTTACCAACATATGGGATCACCCATATAGCCAATCTTCTTAAAAATAGTTCATTATTGTATTTTCACAGTAATAAGCATCAAAAAGCAATTAGCTTTCCTCCCCCTCCTCCTTGTTCCACGGTAAATCCTTGACCTTCCTACTCTGACATTCCATAGAACATGTTGGTAAATGGGAGCCTAGGAGCTTTCCCTAGGTCTTTTCTACCCATCACACTCCCCAGACAATGCCAAGAACAGTGTAAGCCCATACGGGCAGAACTCTGAAGACATAATTTGCCTGATCTACTTAAACATCCTGCCTTCTACCAGGAATGCTCCAGAATCTCATGGGGCTCCTGGAACTCCAGGCTGGCTGGGAAGCCTCCAAGGAATGCTGATATTTATCGGTACAGCTGGCTCCCAAGGGAAGGTGTACCTCTGGCTAAGTCTGGAGCAATTCCCAAGGACTTACAAAGAGAAGTGAGAGTGGAAGAAAAGAAAAAGAAAAGGGAAGTGACAGTGGGAGATGGGAGAGATGGGGAACAGAGGCATTTACAGTTAATCAAATTATCAGTTATTAAAGCACAAAATACTCTCCCTCTTCCTTTTTCTATTTTTTTCTTATAATTAAAATAATGATAATAATACATGTGCAGGGAGATTGTAGAGAGTAGGGTGGAGATGCATAGACTTTGGCCACTGATCTGAATTCAAATGGCACACAGTGGCTATGCGTCCTTGGCAGATTACCCCTCTGATTCTAGTTTCTGAATCTGGTATCATGAGAATAATAATGGTACATACTTCAAAGAGTTTTTAAATGAAAAACCATATGTATGTGCTTTATACTCAATAAATCTTAGCTATTACTATTGTAAAAAGTTAAGAAATGCAGGCAAGCACAAAGAAAATCAAAAGCACCTATAATCACACCATTCATTTCACTGCATACAATTCTAATTTTTTTTAATGTATTTTTAAAGAGATTACAGTGCTTTCTATTTCATAGCCTGCTTTTAACATTTAACATCATACCCTACGCATGTCCTATATAATTCAATATTCTTATACAATATGATTTTAAAAGTCCACATCCTTTTCCTTTGATTTATTTTACCTCTTAATGACACTTGCCCTCCTTCCTCTCTGCAGGCTCCACACTTTGTGTATTTACCTCTCATCTGACGATTCAGATGGATCATTTGCTGATTTCCATTTGGCTTGCTGGAGATGCAGCCTTCATCTCACCATCCAGAACACCTGCTCCTCAGGTAAGGGACACATTGCGAGCACTCATTTTATCCCCAGTGTCCAGAGCAACCTATTTGGGGCTGCACAGTAAACCCTTGTGACTTACGGCAAACCACCCAGTTTAACAAGATTCCATGAAGCGTTTATGAAAAGACTGAACAAGGTAGAAGGCGAGTTCTCTCCAAAAAGCATAAGGTTGATTTCTGGGGCATTGAATACACAATTAAAAATTCTCAGGAAAAGGAAGAGACTGAAGATTTTTATCTGAGTACATTGTGTGTGTGTGTGTGTATGTGTGTGTGTGTGTGTTGATTTTTAGAGAGAGAGGAAGGTAGAAGGGGAGAGAGAGAGAGGCATCAATCAGTTGCCTCCAGTATGTACCCTGACCAGGGATCAAACCCAAAACCTGGGTATGTGGTGCCCTGACCAGGAATCAGACCAGCAACCTTTTGGTGCATGGGACAACACTCAACCAACTGAGCCACACCAGAGAGGGCTGAGTACATTGTTTTTCTAAGCAACAGGGCAAAACAAGTTAAAAACTTATGAGCTTTCTTTCTGAATGGAAGTCACAACACTTCCTTATCAATGACACATTGAGACCACAGTAAAACTTTACTACTTCATACAAATGGGAAACAGTCAAACTCAATCAGCAGAGAAAGGGGAATTACATCATTTTTTAAATAGAGGAGCTTATTTCCAATGAATTTTATTTTTTTAAAAACTCATTTCCAAATAGTTCAATATACCTTGACCCGTTCTGATGGGTTGTTCAGAACCTGATCTGGTACATATGTTAACAACCACATCTATCGTTTGTATAGAAATGGGAATGGCTAAAGTTCTTCAAAAGTGTGTTCTCCCTATAAACAACAAAAACTTCAACACCCCCTAGGATCATGCCCACTCTTTGGGAAAGATTTTCCTTCCTAGGTCATGTGGAAGCAAGCCCCAGCTCAGGCTGCCCCCTGCTGCTCCAGTTCTGAGTGGGCAGAGGCTTGCGATATCAACCCAGATCAACCCTCCCCCCAAAAGACTCCAGATTCCAGACTTGATCTGTCCAGACCCATCTGAGAATTAACAAGTTCCGTCTAAGCACCCAGAGAACTAGGCCTGTCATGGAAACACTGATTCAACCGTAATTAGAACCGACATAAAACCACACAAATGAACTAAACATTCTTCCACCCAATTGGAGTCAAGTTGAAGCAACAGCCTCAAGAGTAAAAGAAGTGAGTCTGTTTTTTCTTTGTGGTCCTGCTCATTTCAGCCTATTCCACTGCCTTGTTTTTATAACTTCTGTTTATGAGAAAGTTGGAGTGGGGGAGTTGGGAGAGAGACTGAGAGAGACTGAGAGCTAGCAGGAGGGGAGAGAAAGCAGAGGGAATATGCCAGGGTGAGGAAAGCCAACAAACACTGTGGTTTTTGTCTGGCAAATTAAAACTTCTAGCCCCAAGGAGGCCATAATGGTCTGTTTGGGGTAGTCTGAGAACAAGCCACACTGAAATCCCATCTCCCACTGAAAGTGTGGAATGAAGTCTTCACCTTCCAAAGAATACTTTGTTTTTCTTCTGTTTCTTTATTTTTTCTTAGGTTTTTTTTTTCCCCAGAATTAGAAAGGCTAATTACATAAAGTATCATTATTGGAAAAAAAAGCAGAATTGAATAAGTTTTTTAAAAGGTGCCCAACCAATAGAAACAGTATAATCCTAAGAAGGAATATACTGTATTTAATTTCCCCATGGACGCACAAGGTACAGTGTGTGGGTCCCAGGAACCCAACACCAAATCCCAGGGACGGCCGTTCCCGCAGGAAATGTCTGGGCCAGTGTGGAGGGCACTGTGGCTGTCGCCCGCTGGCTTGGGTCATCGCCTTTTGAGGCTGCACAGGGCACCGGACCGGAGACACCGGCAGTGGCCGGAGCCTGGGGACAGGAGCCCCCACGGAAAGGAGGGGCAGAAGCGGCAGCAGCACGAACAACGGGCGCCAGGGGAAAGGAAGGTGAGGGTCGGGGAGCCCCCGAGAGAGGGCGAAGGCCGGAGGCCGGTGGCCCAGGTCGGAGGGCCCCACCGTGAAGGTTTGCACAGCCCCGGCCCTACCCCCAGAACCGAGCCTGGAGTCTTCTTTGCTCAAGTTTTCTTTCTCTTCAGAGCCGGACCCAGGTCACAGTAGCCCCGGAGCTGAGGTGCGGAGGGGAACCCCGTCGGGGCCACCCCGCGGGCCCTGGGCAGCTCGGGGGCAGCGAGAGCGGTCGGGGGGAGACGGGGCACAGCGCGCCCGGCCGCCCAGGAGATGCCCGCGATCCGGGCGCCCGCGCCCCCCGCCCGCAAACTTTCCCCCACCCTGCAGAGGGGGCTCCCCCGCCTCCCTGTCTGTCCCCTGGGGCTGGTCACTCACGGACAGCGCAGCTGGGGCTCCGACTCCGGCCGCCGCCATCCACACCAGGACGAGGGGTGGGAGGAAGAGGGAAGGCGGAGGAGGAGGGGGCGGAGGGGGCGGAGGGGGAGGGCCTGGAGCCGCGAGGGGAGGGGAGGGGAGGGGTGGGGCGGCCACTCCTCAAGGACTATCCTGCCTCCCCCACCCCCGCCCCGTCCCCTCCGGATCCCCCTTCGCTCCTCACTCGCTTCCAGCCCTGGGTCCCCCAACGTTTTTCTGGTGTCTAATTCTCCATTATGTTCCTCCTGCTGAGTCTCCAGCCCCCAAGGTGGAGGAGAGGGTGCTCCCTCCAGCAAAAGTGAAGGGCGAGGGGGGTAGTATATGTTACCTTATATGTCCCCTTGAAGCAGATGGCTGGCACCCTTGGCAGGTCTAAAGCCAACCTACATCCCGAGAACCTTGTTGTCATCTCTGAGTAATAAGATAATGGGGTGGGGGGACCCCTTTGTGGTCATGCTTTCACTTTGCTTCATTGAGATTTTTTTTTTTCTTTTGCTTGTGATTAGGGGAACTGCAGAATTATTTTAGAAGCTTCTGATTGCTTCCTTTTCCTTCAGAAGTGCGACCAGCCCTGGTGGTAGAGTAAGATGAACCGCAAAGACGAAGCCTCACCTTCTTGGATGGATCAGTACTCTGGAGGAGGATGGGATGGCTTGGTGAAGGGCCAAGCCGTGTGGATGGGGCCGGAGATGCATCTTCACAGTGGCCTCCTGTGTGCTGCCGGCAGAGTACAGATGAGAAGGGGAGTTGTCCTCTGAGCAGAGGTTAGGGAGTGGCTTTTAGCCCTTACTCCATCACCTTCTGGGGTGATTCTGGGCAAATCTCTTGGCAGCTCAGCCTCTTCCAAAAGTGGGGCTGCCTCACTGGTAGGGAATCAGAATGAAGAGATCTGCTTGTGCCTTTTTTTTTTTTATCCTCACCCGAGGACATCCTTCCATTTTTTTGTTCAGGTAGAGTGGGAGGGAGAGAGAGGAACAGAGAGAGAGAGAAACCTCGATGTGAAAGGGACACATCGAGCGGCTGCCACCCGCACGACCAACCAGGGCCGGGGACAAACTGCAACCAAAGTACATGCCCTTAGCAGGAACCGAACCCGGGTCTCTCAGGACCACAGGCCGACGCTCTAACCGCTGAGCCAAACCGGCCAGGGCTGCTTGTGCCTTTTAACCTGGAAAGACACCCAGCCCCAGGGTGGGAAGCTTGAACTGGGTTTGAGCAGACTCAGAGGAGAAAGGAGGGCATTCCGGCCCTGGGTCATGGGGTGCTTCGGAGGCTGGCAAGACTTAGAGGAGGTGAGAAATGTTTGGATGGGAATGTGTAACGACATTAAGCAGAAAAAAAGGAAATCCATGAAAGTTTTTAAGCAAAGGAATATTTTGGCCCAAGTTACTTTGTATTCCCAGAGGCTGGCAAACGGACAGGCACCAAAATCCTTGTGGCCTCAAAATGGTGACTGAGGAATACTAGTGGAGCAGTCTGAAGATGAACTGTCTGGAAAGAGAGGGCTCAGGAAGGGATGAGAAGGCCCTAGAGAACATCTCATGCTGAAGAGCTCTGCCTGGATAGTAGGAAGGAAATGAGGGCTTCTGAATGCAAGACAATGTGATTCTCTTTTAAATGCTCTTTCAGGTATTTGACTTTGGAGTTCCTTGTGGTGAAATGAAAAAGATAATTCAGTATCCTACTCAACCTTCAACCAGGGTTTAGAACCTGTGCTGAGGAATACGAGGAAGGAAACATTCTGAGAGGGCACAGTTGAAGTCACACAGCCAGGATCTAGTTAGGGTGTTTTTATTCTCAGATAAAATTTCTAATTGTGTTTACCCTTAAGACACCCTAAACAAATGGTAAAAGGCATCGGGTCTGCCTCCCTTCCCCACTTCCTCCAGCTAGCTTCCCAGTGATGGTCAAGGGTTGAGGAAGGGTAGGAGGGAGACTGGAGAACAGAAAGTCAACTCACTGATAACTTTACAGAGACACTTCTACAGAACCAGACAGGTAGTAGGCTGAGTCAGGCTTTTTGTAAGGAGCTGAGAGAGGTGCAGAGCAGGAAGGACAAAGGAAGAAAAAGGCAGAGGAAGGGAAGAAAAAGAGGGGGCCTTGACCCCATGCCTTCTGGTTCAAGCTCCAACTGAACCTCCTATAACCTGTGTCCAGCCGGTGGGTCTCCTAAGGTGGCCAGCCCATCTCAGAAAATGCCACAGGTTACAACTGGAGAAAGGACTGACTCATTCAAGAAACAAATACTTGACAAATAGCAATCATCATTGCATTTAAACAGAGTTCTGAGTGCACCATTTAAATTCTATCATCTTTTAATAAGCAGTATGCCCTTGATTATTAGGTAGCCCTTCTAGTGAATGAAATCTCTTTTGGAAACTTTGACACTTCTGCAAAGCAAATAGGTCTATAATTTTCTAAAGACCAAATAGTTGGTTGAAAACCATTTATCTTTTGCCACCCCCTTCTGTGTGATTCAGCGTTGCCCCAAAGGTTGCCACTTTCATGAACGCAGATTTCTTATAATTCCATCACATATTTCCAAAGGATCCTTTCTTGGCATTGTCTCTTTGTATTAAAATCTGCTGGTACACAGCTCAGCCTGGCCTCAATTAGCTAAGCCATGACAGCCGGTCATCATCAGCTGTGACCTCATTTTACTCCAGTTCCTACTCTTTTCCTTGCTCTACACTAAGTAGACCTTCAGATGATATAATTCTCCTTTTTATTAACAGGTCTCTTTCCTGGTAGCCTTGTCATGGAAACCATTTAGAAGTTCCACACTGTTTATTAAGGGGTCTCCAAAGTGGCTACAGATACAACCCAGTAGATTATTGTGAAATGCCTCAAAACTCAAATCAGCTGAGGCTGTTGGGATCAATTAATATAAATTCAAACCAGTTTGCAGAAATGCCTGATGTGAAAGAGAATATGGCTGGGAAAAGTGAGGATTTCAGAGTTAGGACAAGCTTAGCCCTAAAGGCTTGATTAAGAACATTCCTCTCTAAAAACTTTACAATTAAGTCTCTATTTATATTGCAACATCCATTCAAGACAGAGTGAAGGCTTTTGAAAAGCCATATTCCAAAAAAAGATTACAGTGTACAAATGGCTTCAACAAAAGTGAAAATTAAACAGGAAAAAAAAAATCACCATTTTAGAGCCATGATACATTCTGGCCTGATGTCTGAAGCACACACTCTTTCTTTCTTTCTTTATTTTTTATCTTCACCCGAGGACATTTTTTCCATTTTTTGTTCAGATTGGGAGGGAAAGCGAGGGAGGGAGAGGGAGGGAGAGAGAGAGAGAGAGAGAGAGAGAGAGAGAGAAATATCGATGTGAAAGGGACACACTGAGTGGATGCCACCCTGACCTAACCAGGGCCGGGGACAATCTGCAACCGAGGTACGTGCCCGTAGCGGGAACCAAACCCGGTCTCTCTGGACCGCAGACCGACACTCTAACTCTGAGCCAAACCGGCCAGGGAGGGCCACACACTCTTTTCAAACTTTTCCATCAGGAAACCTGAATACTCTTTGGATAGACATTTCCAGACATAAATAAAAAGCCATAGCTTCACTGAGAATATCAACTGAAATCAATGATATTTAGGGGGATGATCCCTTAGTTCAGAATCACCCATGATTGGCTATCCTTTGTCCTGGAAATGGGACACTTTTAGGTGTGGCTCGAGCTACAGTGACTATTGCTATTGGCCAGTCCCTTGGCCTGCTCTCTAAAATGTCTCCAATCAGTATTTACTGAACATATACTATGTACAAGACATTCTGCTAAGCACTGTTGGGAGTAAGGATAAAACATGGTTCTCACCTCACACATCTGTAGTTACTTAGGAAGATGGCATACATGAAAATGACTACATGAGATATGTTGACAGTTTAAAGTAACAGAAGTGCCCTAAAGAAATACAGGAATGCATAAGAGAGGAATATTCTTTAGAATCTGAGCAAGATGTGACATTTTTTTTTTGCTAGTTAACTGTGTTGATTCTATTCGTGGACCTATGTGTGTCATCGCTTGGCTATTCCACTGATGTTTAGGGAGCACTGAGTTTGAGTTCAGAGATCATTAAAGTCCTCAAAACAAAACAAAACACAAAGGTTCTAAGTGGGGGAGATGCCTTTTGAGGCCCCTACACCTACAATAGCCTCCCTCATGTTTTCACCTAGGAGTCAGTTCTTCTAACCCTCTCCTTATGAAAACAGTTATTCTAATGCTCTATAGCCCTTTTCTTTCAGGTTTCGAAGAGCCATAATGGGTTTTCCTGCTCTAATGCTTTGACTGCCAGCTAATTTCCTAATTTGGAGCTAATTACTAAACTGCTTAAAAATTTAAAGCATGGGTAACCACTTACTGACAAGCTTTCCATTTATCACCATGGTATCTGAGGACATGGCCCTTACCCAAGAACAGAAGCTTCCTCTTCTATCACAGAACAAACTAGTCCTTGTCAGTGTGGCTCTGCCAGATGGTTTCTTAGCCATCATCTTAACAAGTTCAAGTTACAGAGTTTGAAGCCTTTCAAGAGCTGGGAGCAACTTCCAGGGTTAATGCTTCAGAAAACGAAATTTTAAACTGCATATTTTTCCCTCTGGGGATTTTTAGTATAAAAAGGGCTTTAATTCATGGTCATTTGGTAGGAGCCTTTTGCTCTGACTTTTTTGGTCACTTTCTTAGCTAATTGGTTCCTCGTTTCACTTATTTTCTCTCCCTTTTTTTGTTTGGAAATAGTGCAGCTGAGTTTTTGTTTTATTTTAATGGATAATGAACTGGAAAAGTGTTCATGTTGTTAAAAAGTATGTTAGCCGAACTGATAGAGTTAGTCTCTTACCAAAAGCAATGGAAAATCCAATTTCCAGCTTTGAAAAGTGAGCAATAAATGCTTGTAACAACATAATGGTGGGGAGAGGGGTAATGTTTAAAAATGCTATCACAAGACACATGCTGTTTATTACAGCTTCTAAAGCTGTGCCTG